TCACCCAGATGTTTAAAACTGCGTTACTGTGAAACCCCAGCAAGTGGCCAGCTCCACAGCACACTGCTCCAAAATGCTAACAAATGTGTCTTCAGAGAAACTGCTTGAGCTGCCTTAACTAGTATTGCTGGAATCATGATTGGCAATGATCTGAAAAGCTTCTCTGGCCTGTGGCAGAACAGAGGAAAACACAGCTGAGCCCCAGGGTCCTGAAGCAGCATAGCCTGTTTTCTCTCATTCTCTCCAAGGTAATTTTTGAGCCCATTAGTCATTGCAGCCAAATTTGACTGATGGTAGAGATGTCACGGATAATTCTGTTTGCAAAGGTTTCAAGAAAACCCAACAACATTCAGGTAGACGAGGGAGAGCCAGCTCCCAGTTTCCCAAGTGAAGGAATAGCTGTCATGAGCTCATCTCTTCTTAGAAATCAGAGAATCCATCTGGGAGAGAAACTCTGTAGCTGCCTGATGTGCAGCAAAAAGATTCAACAAGGTCTACCCCAATTTGCACACCAAAGTCCATCAACCATGAGGGACAGATCCACAGGAAATCAGGCATAATTAGGTCTAGAGCTCAAAGGTCAATGAACACAGCAGAATGAAGCATTATTTAAATACAAAGAGGATGAATTCAGTCTCATGCCAGGGAAGTACTGAAGGAACCTAAGCAAATATCTAAATGCGTAACCATCTATCTTAAGTCACGTCAAATAAAAGCTTTGTCAATAGTTACAGGCATGTTACATTGCTTTGAAAAACAATGTTTTTCAAAACAAGAGCGCTGCTTTTGTTTTACCTCCTTCACTACCTGCCCTTAATCCCACACCCAACCTGCCCTTACTGCAGGAAAAGGGGCAGATAAGCATGTATAGTTCCACCTCAGTGTTTGAAGGACTAACGAATACCAATGCAGAGGAGACCCAGCCCTGTTTTGGGTGTACATGCCATTTTGTTCTTCTGCTATGTATCACAAACTAAGAATTCACTCTTGTCCTGTGACAAGTGACAAAGCTTGGCTATATTTAAAACTAACAAGTACATTCCTATGACTGTTTTTTTTCAAAGACTCCCAAGATCTTTCAGTCAGTGCTCTGCTTCACAGAAATCTGTGAACCATACCATTCCTCCTATGGAAAATTTCCCTATTTAGTTGCTCCATAGCTCCAGCGAGTTTTGCAAGATAAGGATAAAAAGTACAATATGACAATCCCTCCCTTTGGGCATCTGGCAAGGGATTCCAGTCCCCAGGCTAATAAGCGTTTCCCAGATCATATATACCTGGAGGTGCAGCTTTTCATGACTCTTCCTTGAGCCTTCCTCTTTGTCTCACAGCAGAGGTAATGGCAGTCAACCAACCATACTGTCTTCGAAGGTCAGAAGCACAAACAGCTTGCTCCTTCTCACACCCAAAATTATTTCCTAAGGTAGTTTTTGGAGGAGGGGAAAGGCAAGTGAAGATACCCAGCTACACATGAGAAGTTACAACTGATTTGTACCGTTGTTGTATTCAACGGTGGGAGACAACACAGAAATTCAGGGAGCTCCAAAAGAACCATACCATCAAAGCTGCGAGCAAAGGTAGCTTAGAAATGCAGAGCATCAGACATGATCCAAGCCCTAGGATTAAAAGCCTTCTGCTTGTAGCTAGTTCTTTAAACAGCGAAAGTAGGGCATGTATAATGCTGGTCCCAATAATAGATGAAGGGAAATATCACTAGAAAAGCAGAAAGTTAATTGTAAAAAGCAGACATCATTTAAAGACCTGTTTAAGCTGAGGGAGAAGAGCAGCAATCTACAGGCAAATAAAAGGAAGGAAAAGTTGCAGTCAGAAATATGGGGAAAAAACCAGCATAGAGGATTTGTTTCAAAGCCACTGAAATCTATGGGAAGAATTGCATTATGTTTAAGAGATGCAGATCCACTTTCAATGAAATTCAGTTTAGACAGAAACATCACTGTGAACAGATTTTTATCTATTTAAAAAATATTAAAAAAATGAAGCTGTGTGTAACCTTTTGTTAGATAAATCATACCATCACAATGCTGAAATAAGTAAAACAGCTTTGAAGACTAGTTACCTCTGCTGAACGCAATGGGAATTTTGCCGTAGATTGTGAGAGATGATGGCCTGTGCCTCAGTGCAAGCTAGAGAAAAGAATGTAAATCTGCTGGAGCAGTGTTTGTGGAACATGGTGCTGATTTTAGTGATGGCTTTTTCCATGCACCAAGCATGAGATCATGTACAGGGCTGTATTTACATGGTGATGTAATTTTACAGCAGAAGCTAGAAAAACAAGGAGGGTATATCATGTCCAGCATGATTTATGCCAAGCTTTCCACAATTATGCAGCCTCCCTCCCATGTCATACATATGTTGGCAGGATTAAAGTAAGAAGTGGGACAACCCTGCCCCCAATTTCTAGACAACCTTATGCTTTGGCTGCAAAATCAACTCATAACTCAAAAAGCAACCTCCATCGGGCAGACAGTTTTCAAGTCAAACAGCATATGTGCTTAATTCAATGCTTACAAAATTACCTTTTGTTTTATACAAATGTCCTGCCAACAAAAGAACAAATCGGGGATGTCTAATGGATTTAGCAATATGGCACTATTTATGTTGCGATCACAAAAGATCGGATACGCAAATACAGTTATTTTCCAAGTGAAGTTTTATGATAATGTGGTTTACAAACTGTTACACCCACTCATCTTTTGAGGTAGAATCTTACATTTTTTTCCTTAAAAGGAATGCCATGCTGTGCCATTGAGATGTAAAGACTCGAAAAATAAATTTCTTGGCCTCGTTTAAATACAGAATGCTATTAGTCATAAATAAACAAACTTAAAACAGAATTGTTTGATTAGCCAGTGAAATTATATACACACATTCTGGAAAATCTGATTAAGTTCAGTCTATGGTTGGTTTCTAACTAAGCAGGCACAGATCTCTGTATGAATAACATTTAATATAAGATCATAAATGTTGTGCCAGTTCACCTACATCCATTTTGGAGTTGATTGACATAAAACTGGTGCAGCTTCTGAACCTCTGCTGCTTTCATCAAAATTGTTTTAAGTTAGGAAGCTGAGTGAGTCACTAACTAGAAGCAACAGCAAATCCAACTATAAACCATGTGTGCCTTATATCTACAAATTAAGTGAACGGACAAAACAGCTTTCATAACAGTATTTGCAGTGACAGTAAACTTGGATGTAACAATCAAAAGAGTGGCTGAACATGCATTAAAGGGACAACATACAGCTGTCACCATTAGAAGAGTGCTCCAAGATACCCTTTTTCCTTCTTCTTGCATGTATCCTGGAGTACGTAAAGTTCCTTGCTAATTTATATCATGGATTGGTCTTCAAATGATGCATCATTTTCCTTTTCTGGAAAATCACCTTAGTCTCAAATAAGCCAGGAGCTGAATTTGGAGGAGCCAAGTCTCACATGCATTTATAGTGAGGCAGTCACTAAGCGGTAAAGCAAAATATACTGCACTTAAAAGGCAAGACATCTCAGATGATTTCTAGCCAGCCTTTTAAGACATTCAAATTGAAATAACACCTGCTGGAACACCCCATTTTACAGCCAGCTGTACCCTGGGGCTGGTGCTAGGAACATGCATGTTACCCCTTGTCTCATGTTTTTTCTTCAGGACTGTTGTCTAACGTAACAACCATACTGATAATGATGGCTCTAGACTCAATGAATCATCAGTGAAAAATGCTTTATGTGACAGCTAGTAAGTTTGTCTAACTGGTTGATTCTACTACACCACAAATTATCTTTCATCTTTCACAGTTCTGTTCAAGAATCAGTCAATGTGTATGCACCCCAGTGTCTTCTCAACATGCACTTGCAAGAAATAATCTACAAAGGCTTTTCCTTCCAGCCATTTTCCATTCCCATACATCCTCTGCAACACCTCTTATACAGATAACCTCACATAATTAACTCACTGACAGCCCCCATCCTCCAAAACAGTTTCTTTTCCAATCCTCTGGACAACCCCTCTACCTGGCAGGCATCCTCAGAAGCACCAAAACAGGCATTATTATGAGGACTGGACTATTATTTCAGGTGGTGATGGGTTGTTCGAAGCACAGCTTTGGTCTACTTGCAAGGTAAATGCTGATGCGATGAACGGGCACTTTTTGGTTCTTGAGCTGGGCAGGTCTCTTTCCATCCCTAGATGATTTTCCTCAGTAGTGAGAGCAAAGAGAATTCCTGGTTTCCTCCCAGGATCTTGGGAGCCAGTAATTAGGACACAAGTAGGACACAGCAGTTTAAAAAAAAAAAAAAAAAGCCAAAACAGTGCAACATAAGTTTCTTTTCCTCCTCATCTTATTGCAGCCCAGTATTGCCTGTTTCCCTCTCTACTCCACTACATACAAGGCTGGAGTGCACACAGACATAGACATCCCGATGCTCCGCTGCTATGCTTTCAGTAATGGAGCGTGCATTGAGTCAGCTGAGACTAGTAACAAGCAGAGCCAAATTTCTTGTGGTGGGACAAATAAAGGACTTTCTGCTTTCTAAACCTGAAATACAATCAGTTTCCTCAAGTACATTGTAGTGCTCTGCACAAATTGAGGAATAAATCTGGGCAACAAGCAACTTAATGCTCCAATTTTGTAGAAAAAAAGCACAAGTGTCTTTAGCCAACTATTAAGAATTCATTAAATTCTTACATGAATGCACACACAAATGCAGAAAACCCCAAAGCCTGGGAATGAACACAGGATGAAGCAGTGCCTCAGAGCACTTTCTTCAGAGTGCTCTAGTACACATGCACATCTTGCAAAGAGAGGCCTTATTTATATATCTCCTCAATGTGTTAGCAGTCAACCCCCCTACACGCAGCACTACATGAAATATAGTTCCTTAGTTGGCATTTTGTCAGAGAAAAAGGTAGGACTTGAACTTCATTTTGAGATGCTGGTAAGCATTGGTATAAAGAACTGAAAAAATAAAAAAAGGAATATTTTCTGTTCATAGCTTTTATTATAAACACATAGATTAAATATTAACATAGGAAAAAGGAGACATTACTAGTTAGGCCTTTAAAAGGCTAGGTGTCCTAAAACAGCCCAAAATGTCCTTTTTATACAGTATCCACTGAGTTGGCAGTCTCTGTAGCACCACTTCTGTGGTAACTGAAGCCTCTGTAGCACCACTTCTGTGGTAATTGAAGCCTCTGAAACACTGGGATATTCCCTGTCCTCTCTTTCAAATAGAGCAGCATTCTGCATAAGGAAACAGTTAGTTTGGATCCGTGTGTTCAAGTAAAGATACTCCAAGAATATCAGCTCGGTCCAGTTCCTTTTTTTATTTTACCCAACAGGCCAGGCTCATCCCAAGTGTTGTAACCGGCTGGAATTTAACACTGTCAGTCAAGATCCTCTGGGCCTACTGGGAGCTTTGCAAAGAGTATCAGTAAGAGCTAGAACTGATGTTTGTTCTCTGAGTAACATGCAAAAACTTTTTCAGTTCATTTATAAAAACTGGTCAAAAAGCAGAAACATCTAAGAGCCTGGGAAAATCCTTTTGTTTGCCCATTTTCAAAATAGTAAATTTCAACAACAAAAGTCTGGATGGTTGAAGTTCTAAAATTCAATTATCAGCTGATGAAAAAAAATATCTAAGAGATTCCATTTTTTCTTGACCCTTACTCAAAGTCAAAAAAGTTAAAATAAAGATGCTCTGAGCTCTATGCTTAAATACGATGTGCTTTCCTGTTACAGAGTTTTCTCGGCTCCCCACTGTTCCTTTGCCTTCCAGCAGCGAGTGCTCTCACTGCCACTCTAGTTCATGTCAGCTGTTTGAACAGGGTCCAAGTTATAAAAAAGATACAATTATTCAGTGTCTATATGAACATACGTATTTGTACAGTCCAGACAGCCAACAGTAAATGTGTAAGCAGTGGATTTAATGGAATATATATATTTTTTAAATCCAGTAGTTAAAATAGTGCAAAGAGGTCTGTGCTTTTAGATTATCAATTATATACATGGCATTTTCCCGCCTTAAAAATAACTGTGAATAAACCCCTGAAAATATAGGGACTAATAGAAAAAATAATCTTAGGATTTTGTAGGAAAAAGTATAATTTGCAATAAAAATATGGTAATTTTGTCTTGCTAGAAACAAGTAACAAACATATACTCACACACATAGTGTTTCAGCATCCTAGGCATGTAACAAATACTTCTGCAGTAGTAGCCCATCTTTTAAACAAAGTCCGAGTCCCTTACTGTGCTGCATTTTAATTAATATCAAAAAGCACTTATGTCAGTAAATATTTGCTTACTTCTTCGTACATGTTAGTCTGGCTTTTAGCAATGTAAGCAAATGCTAGAACATTGTTGATTAGATAGGAAGTGGTTTACGTATAATAATTCTATATAAGAAAGTAATTTATCTAAAAATATTGGCCCTGATCCTAGGCAGGGCCGTTGCCTCTTTGTATTATTCCATTGATTCCAACCAGAATTCACCCAAACCGAGCAAGTTTGGAGGGCCCCAACTTGCAAAGATCACGGTTAGTCAGAGAAACTCTTTATCTTTCAATCTCTCTGTTTAGAGAGAAGGATGGGGGAAAAAACAAGCTACGGGCATGTCAGGGTACTGAACAACCCTTCATCAAAGATGGAGGTCAGAAAAGCCTTTGGGTACTGCCTTATTGCAGTTCCCTTTATGCCTTCTCCTACCGCCACAGCTTTCCCATTTGCTCAGACACACGTTACTCTGATCAAATGGTGTCAACACGGGTGCAACCCCAGAGGCTCAGAGGTACCTAGGATCAAGCCACTGACCGGACTGATTCCCATGGACTTTGGAGTCTGCCAAAGACAAGACTGCAGATAAGAATGACTTCAGTGACTAGCGAAGAAGATGCTGATTCGAGCTGCTTCCCTCCAAGATGAGATTTCTGTGCTCTTAATGGAGCCTGAAAGGGGCAAAAATACATTTTTCAAGGTGGATTTTTTAAAATCAAATGAGCACTTTTCCCAGTTCCTAAGTCTTCCTCTTAATAATATTTAGCCAGCATCTCTCTTTGTGAAACTGAATTTTCCCAGTTACCATGGAGGTGTGATGCAGTGGAGACCTTCTGAAGAACTTGTGTAGACAGTATTTTTCTTTTTATTTCTACTACTTTAAACAGCGTAGGAATATCTTTGTAGAAAAATCAGTCCTGAGTTTCATCTCCAGTCTTCAAGATGGACCAATGCTGTACCATTTAACAACAACTTTTTCAGGGTTGGCAATAGTATCTTTCCACTGCTCTACTGCTTCACTGTTACTGCTATCAGAACTTATCCAGATCTGCAGTAAGAAACAGAAAGAAAAATAAAATTGAGTTTACCTGATATAACACAGAGGCCCAGCCTTTATTATTTCCAAATAAATACCATGGAAGTGTAGAACGAGATACAACGTGTAGACTGCGACCAAAGCATTATAGCAACAAATACAGTTCTGTTGGGACTAACATATTTTGGCTTTCAGCTGGGAACACAGGGAGTCTGGGTTTAAATTTAGCCTCTGAATAAATAGTTTAGAGAACTCACTACATACTAATGTTTCTCTACTTAATAAGATGTTTTAAGTCAAGCGTTCCTTGCTCCATTCAAATGCACGTGCTGGGGTCAAGGGCTCATCAGGGCCAGTGATGGCTCTGTGCATTCAAACTCCAGTTGGCTGCAAGCCATCTGGCATCCCGAGCTAGCCCTCCAGCATTTTCCTGAGCATTTAAAATTGCACACTCCAACAGACGGGGCCAAACCTGCATTCCACAGAGGTTACTAACATGGCCATACCACGCATAGTCACGCAGTAAGAGTCCGTTTCTTCTCAGTATGCAATTAATGGATAGTGGCCATTAAATGAGGAAATGAGGTACAAGTAGGAAGTTTTCGTCCTGAACATTATCACCAGCCTCCACTGCCAAAAGAATTCTGCTTATATAAGTAGGTATCATTATTTACGGGACTCAATTTCCTCAAGTCTTCCAAGAACAAGTCCTTTTAAGACTTCTCAGAAACCTTCACCATGAAGTACATTTAGCCTACACTGCTGAGGCATGAGTCCTCAAGAAGTGAGAATAATGTCTTCCAGAATACCACAGACAGCTGATGTTTCATCCACAGAGATTCAATATACATCTTGTTCATGATTAAAGACATGCCTGTAAAAGCAGCCTAATCTAAGTATTGTCTGCTTAGAACAGCATCCAATTAAACATAATTCTCTGAAGAACAAAGTTAATAGATCCAGCTATATTCATCTTTTTCCAGCTACCCAGCCAATTGCTCAAAGTACATTTTTCCCTGAGCCATATTTTACGTCTTCATGTGCTATGTGGCAATGTCTGCCTGCATGAGCTGAAACAACCTTTTCCAAATAACCTCTGAGGAGCAGAAGTAGCTCATTTCCTCTCCCTAAAAATAAGATCCATGATTAAATGAAGCTCATCAGATTGAGATGACCTCACATATTGCTAACTGACTGCAAAATCATACCCAGTTATTTTTGCCCCAAGATAGCACAACTAAACAGAACAATTTTTTTTCTTTTCCTATTCCAAATCCAATTCCACCAACAGGAATCACAGAAAGATGGAATACATGTGACATGAGGCTCTGTAAAATGGAGGATGGTCACGTAACTCTTGCCGGTACATCATTTCTATAGCACATCAGCATCTTCTATAAGTGCACATCTTCAGCAGGCACAAGAAACATCACCAGAACAGAATAATACCATTTTCTGGTATTGTAACATGTACATGTACATGTCAGTACTTTATCTGACAAGGGACATTACAGTTGGGGTCTCAAAATCAATTCCACGTTATTCATTTATGCATACATTAAAATTCTGCTACTAACTCTAGCTGGGTCAGGGAAAGCACTGAGCATTAAGAACAGCTATGGCTCACTATACCATGAAGAAAAGGAGATAAAGAAGGGACAGGATGATGGTAAATTAAAACAACCAGGGGAAGAGGACAGAGAGAATAAAAAGAGACCAGACTACCAAGTTTTATGGTGGTTAAATAAATATGATCACACAAATGCTTTCAAAGAGATACTACAGAAGTTCCAGCTGTAATAAAGATAAAGATATCTAAAAAATAAAGATAAAAAAAGAGCACTCAACTAAAAAATACTTTTGTGTTTGTTCACCTATGTTATCACTTGATCATACATACTTAGAATATCGTGCTGATTTCAGCATTGCTTTACCCAGGAAGGCAGTCTAATACTGTAGCTGTTGATATTTCCTTTTACACACACCTCTTTGTAAGTGTATTGGTATGGTAAGCCAACACACCCCCTTTGTACAGTACATTGTAGGTTGTGGAGCTCCTGTGAGTGCTATGTTTGTTTTCTTCACAAAGCCTAGAGGCAAGGAGGAGATCATATGTCTGTCTGTAGGAAGGAATCTTTCACATAGTAGTACTCCACACAAAAATGACTTAAGGACTTCTTTTTAAAAGCAAAATCAAATGTCAACTCCCATTCTGATGTTAGCCCATGTTTAAGAGCCCAGTACTATTCTTTCTTGGGTTACATCCAGAAGAGCTTATTAGAATTTACTATTTTGCTATATGCGACCTTATTTGAAGTATTTTAAAACTCATACCAAGAAACCTGTGGAACTGGATTTTAAGTAAAGGATATCATGCTAGTTAGCAGAAACCAACCTGTCCTAGGAAGTGTTTTCTTCTCACTGAGCTTCTGCTGTAGAGCTTGATGAGAAAGCTAATTCCTTGTTCAGCTTGGCTAACTGGAAAAATCATCATTTCTCCCCACTTCACTTGGCCATTAGTGGACTTCAGAAGACGAGTCTTCTTCTTATAGATCAGCCCTTCTGTACTAAACATTCCAACTTTCACAAAGAAATCTAGCACAAAAGGGAGGGGAAAAGGCATAGCACACAAAGGGTTACTCACAAACACACCCAATAAGCAACTGACAAGATCCACATGTATGGTTCAAATTGCAACAATTTCCCAAAAGTCTGGCCAAAAGAACTGTACAATAGCTTTCCTGACTAGTCACACAAACAGAGTATGTTCACTAATATTGAATTGATTAACACAGTATCCAAACAGCAAGTGCGAGCTAATGCTCTTGTATGTCAGGATTAATACTGGGATAAAAATCTTCCAAAATACATAAACACGTAGCTTCAAACCAAACAAAAAGTAATCAAGTAAGACATCTGCGGAAACAAGCCTTGGCAATGGAAATCTACTGCACAATATGTTAGTCTGAGATTTGTACGGCATTTTATGAATTGCCAACCCATTTGAGCAGCAATTTACCTCTTACAAATGCTTTTAGACAGGAGGCATGAGACAGCTGATGTAACTTACTTGAAGACAGCGGTGTAGATGAAACTGGAAGGTTTTGTGCTTCAAGAATCTGTAACTGAATCCTCCTGTTTATTGCTTGAAAACAAGTTCCTACTTGAAGTTCTGCGCGGCACACCTACAAGCAGAAGAATGTTGCCATAACATCTGGATTAAGTTGCTTATAAACTCAGGAAACACAGGAATTCTGTCATATGTTGGGCTCCCACATTTCTATCTGGGATTTCCTGGACAGAAATAGAAGCATGTGTTGTGTACACAACCTGCAGATGCACAGTAAGTGCATCTTGCACTTGTTATAGCTGCAGTACACGTGCTCCACTGATGGACTGCTTATGGGCAGTGCACATATGGCCCTCGTGGGCTGCAGCCAGAGATACTGGACAAATAAACGAGTCCTCAGTTTTCACCTGGGAAAGATTCCTTAATGGTAAGAGCAGACACATACAGGGAAAACCGGACATGCAGTTATAGCTCTACTAAACCTGGGTGTGGAAGTGAGAGACCAGGTATGCTCCGCTAACACAAAAACCTTTGGAGTTCTCCTCCCACACTTTTGAATTTTCCAATTGGGAGATATAAGCAACGTTTTCCATAGATACAAGGCCCTGTTACTTAATGTCATGAATGTTTGACTGCATGCTGTGGAGTTTCCTACGTTATGGAAGTACTTGTGTTTTACATGCCTACACACATACACATCCCCCCCCACACTCTGAACGTACTGAAATCTCCAGTCTGAATTTTTTTTAGAATTTTTGCTAGTGACAAAGTTGCGTTGACGCATCCTCATTACTCTCCTGTCAGATGCTAATGTACTCTGAACACTGTAAGAACAGCAAGAGAATGCCAGTGGAGACACAGCTTTCCTGACAGCCTCCATTTAAAAGGACTTTGCTAGTCCTGGTTCCCTTCAAGTTTTAACGCACTTCAGTGAAGCAAAATGCACCAAGCGAGAGAGCAACAGGTCAGATAAAGAGAAGTCAGGCTCAAGTTCATTGAGGAGACCCAAATTCTCTTTGCAGCTCAGTGACAAAATTTCTGTGTAACCCCAAGAGGAAGCCACTTACTCAACTGTGAGCTTTGGCTCTCTATTGTCAAGTAGGGTAGTTTGCTGCCTCACAGGTAGTACAGGGATGAATTCCAGCAGTGTCTGGAGGGCTCTTGGATATAATGGTGAGGAAAGCCAACACGGAGAGAGAAAGTATGAGATGATTCAGGAATTTACATTGGGATGAAGCAGGTTCTAAAACAGCTTCCTCTTTCACTTAATCTTATTGCTTCTGAAGCAATATGGTTATTCTTGTTAGAATTTAAAAAAATGTATGTGTACCTTATGTTAGAAATCAAGAGCATCACTCATATTACTCAGATACAGATAAAATTTGCTTTTGAGTTGCTAATTCAAGTTTAATTTGTTGAAAATACAAATGTCTAGACAATTTGTAACAATCTGTAAAAGAAACAAACAAAGTGAGGGTAGGGGGAAAGGAAATCCCACTGTGAAAACCACTTGCTTCTTACAACACTAATGGAAATTAACTGTCTGAATTATTACTTCACAGCATGCAATCTGAACATTAAATATATAGCTATCTCTGCCAGTTTCAAGCCACTGAAGATCTTAGCACTTTTCTTCCATAACAAAAGCAGATTCCATTTGCTCTGAGCTCTTGTTGTGAGTCCTAAGGATATTCCGATGCTTTTTTGGCCAGAAAAGGCAATTACCCGGTGTCCTTTGCCGAATGTTTTCCCAGAATGCCCCTCCCTCAAGCTGTGGGCCATGGTGTGGAAGAGCTTGCTCTAGCTCTTTTCCCAGAAACAGCTGCAGTTTATGACCAGAACAGCTATGTCCAGAGTTCAAAAGTCTGCATTTTTTCCCCATCAAAATGCCTCTCCCCAAGAAAGGTGGGGGGGTGGGGGAGAAAAAGAAAAACCCTGTTTGTCGTTAACATTGAATTAGTACTGAATTATTTTACTTTCATTTCCAGCAACTCTTTCTAGGTGATATAACAACATACTTTTGCAGTATTGGCACTTACAGGTGCTTTGGAAGGAGGAGATATATCCAGCCAATGACTTGACTCCTCTGAGCTCAGCTCCCGCAGTGCCAAGGAGCACTCTCCAATTGTTTTTTTCCTGGGAGTCTGTGTCTGGATTTTAAATACCAGTCTGACAGCCTGCAGGCTTTGCAGTTTAATAGCAAATACAAAAGTTTCCATAAATTCAATGTCCTAGAAAGAAAAACAGAGTCACCATTGTAAGAGCGTTGCGCCGAGCCCAACACCTAGAAACCAAGGCTTCCTGGTCCTATAGCCACTGCTCCCAGCTACCATTTTAGGTTGCCATGGAATAGTGTGCTTTTACAGTGGTAAGCCCCCACAGACTCATCACCTCATTGTCACACCCTGGCAGGGACAAAGCTCTGGATTATTTTTTCACTACCATAACGAGTTGAGGCCATCTCTTCTGGAGCTTTACAACAGCATACACACGTTGTCATGGCAAATTCTCCTGTGGCCTTTTCCTTCAGTCTCTCCTGCTAATTTTATTTTCTTTCACCTTTGACTCACATTATAGGAGGTTTATGTTGCTTTACCTTCCACCCCCTTAATATTTCTTTACTGCACTATCAGGAGTCTTGTCCCATGCGACCAATTCTTACTACTTTCTGTAGAGAGGAAGCATGAACTTTGGCTCCTGCCCTAGTGAGAGGCAGTAACATCATCTACCTTCCCTGGGGTGAATGTGTACCTACAGGTATGGCCAGGCTTCCTCCAGTCCCCCACCACTGAGTTGCCAAGGCCAGGAGCTCATGGCTGAGTCGTCTATGAGCGTATCTGTCCTGCAGACTTGAGAGAAAAGGAAGGGAACAGTACAATGCAAGAGAGGTTATGGGGGAGGAAGTGGAACAAGGCTTTTAACAGGATTTTGAGAAGTTGGAAAAAAATAAAAATAAAAACCCCCAGTAACCTGAACCTAGGCAACCACCACAGCAAATAGGGCATAGGAACGGACGTTTGGTCCGTTTTAAAAATCCATTTACATTTCACTTTTATTTTTTGGGGGAAAAAGATTTCTTGGTGTTTTCCCTGCCTCTACTTACACTGCATCCTTCCTTGGCAGAAGATTTGAAGTGCACTGGTTTGGGCAGTGTGAGAATTCCCTTGACATAGATACGAGGATTTTCCCCACAGCTAGAAGGCCAGCTCAGGTCTTTGCACTGCAACATTGAAAACACAGTCAGTTTAGACAATGTAAGACTCTGGCCTTCAGACGACTTAGAAACAGTGTCTTCTACACTGTTTTAGAATTATGAATAATTCCTGTAATACTGAATATAAATCAGAGCCAGTGCAATGATTATGTCACTTCAGATCATTTAATAATTAATTTTCACAACCAGAGGGTAAAAAGTTATTTGGTAGATTTTAATTATTTCACTATGTGGCAATTTGACAACAGATAAATCATTAAATCCCTTATGTAGTATTTATCACTTGACGTAGTTATGAGGTTTCTGACTACGCAGAGTCCCACAGCCCAAAAATTATTCAGTTCCTGGAAGTGTATGAAACAGCCAGCATAACAGTATCATGTTAGCAAACAAAAAAGCCACAAGAAGCTATACGTCCTCAAAGTGCTATTATGGTTCTGCCCTGAAGGAACTTGGATTTAAAGTCAGTTAAATGCTGCCTCCAAAGTTGCTCCAATTTGCTGCCTCCAGATTTCCACAGGAAAATTTCCACAGCAGGACCAGACTATGATCAGCTCAGCTTTCTTATCTATGCTGAACAGTTCCTCACTCCACAGTCAGAACATATGTATAGTAACATAAAGAGTTATATACTACTATTTACTATTGACTGCAGCAGGACAGAGATTGCAACAGGAAAAAAAAGGAGGAGAGGAGAGGAGAGGAGAGGAGAGGAGAGGAGAGGAGAGGAGAGGAGAGCTGCTAATGAAGCCCAGTATTACATTTGACTGAACTTTGTTTATCTTAATACTTAGAAGTAATTTTCTTTTTCTCCTAAAAGTATTCCTTAAAGTATATTCCTTAAAGTAACAGAGAGCCAAATTTAATGAGAATTAACAAAGTATAGTAAAATAGCCATTTGAGTAAATAATAATCAAGTTATTTATATTTGCTTACATGTAAAACTGTGATCCAAATCTGTTCTACAGAAGAAACATAACACAACTTCACATTCAGTCTTCCAAAGTCTCGTTCATCGCCTGATAATGTAATAGTGTCTATGGAAGAAAGCCAATTAGTGTTTTGAGAAGTAATGCAGTATCTTAAAAGTTCATTCCAAGAATAAGGGAACTCATTAGTAAGTGGACTGCCTATCTTTGAAAACTTCTCTCAAAATAACTTTGAAATATCTTAACACCTACATTTTAGGGACAAAATATCCATGAAGTTCTGTAGCCTGACCTTCTGCATAGCTAAAAGCCTTTCCGTTTACCTCAGTTATCTCTATTGAATTTAATAACTTGTGTTGTACTTGAACAACTTTTAGAAAGAAAAAAAGCATGTGCCTGAGACACCCAGAACACATTTATAATCTATCACTTCCCTTAGATTAATCATTTTCACTGTTAAGTTTATGAATTGGCCTGCTTTTTATTGTTCTCAGATTTCAATTCCAGCCTAGTAAACATTTTACTATTATGCTTTTCTCCAAGTCAGAAGAGCCATTTAATATCCAGTGTTTCTCTGTCATGACTGAAACCAGGTCATTGCTGCCCAGTCTTCTTTTTGAGGAAACTAGGTGAAATTCTGACTTCCAGCAGGGTGACATTTGTGGAAACTTGATTCATTTTTGAGGGTTCATTTTGCAGCATCTCCACTTCTTCAGCATTCTTTCATAAATAAGGATACTAGGTTTGCGTGCAATATTCTTGCCTAATTCTCAGTGTAATATGGATATTGGATTCTAGGCACTTCCCACAGAAAAATACTGATACATGAAAAAGGACTAGAGCTGTGACCAAGGTGCTGCATTCTATCCTAACAGAACATCTGTAATTTCTTAGTTCACTGAGGTAGTAAATCCAGGGATGAATTTTTCAAAAGCATGAGAACTCCTAAAAGGCTCATTTGCTCAATCTCCTGACAACAGGAAGGTGCAAGTCCAAAACTCTTAATTTCAAATTGCAAAGTAATCTCCAAACTAACTTGCTAATCAGATTCACCTCAAAAATAAAAAAAAAATCATCAACCAGAAAGACAGCTTAATGTTTCAAGTGCAAAGGGAAATACTTCATTACAAGGTAAACAAAACAAAACATTACCCAGACTCCTGTTACTGCCTTGTGAATCCTTCCTGGAAGAGGTACTGCTAGGCACACTGGAGAATGAATCATATCTCTGGGGGCAAAAACAAAAGTCACTTCGTTCAGAGCAACAGATGCAAAAAGCCAGAGAGATTCTACCATGAGACAAGACATGATGAAAACAAAACAACATGCAATTTCAAATAATTGTCTCATTCCCTACTAATCTCTTGATCTAGCAGCATGGAATTACTACTTTGATGCAGAGAGCTAATACAGGAACATATGGCCAGCACAGATTTTTTTTGCTCACTGATATATATGCAACTTCATCTCTATGTAAAAGACAATTATTTGAAAAAAATGCAGTGTTTTTTGCATCAATGGAAATTTCTAGTGTTCCACTTTTCAACTGATGGAGAAATCAGAAGATGAAGAACCACAACCTTTTGTCTGTCTTGTCCTGCCTAACAGCCTACTCAGGTTTCTCAACAGCCCCATTGGGCCAAACAGCAGTAGTCAGAGAAGACATGAGGAAAAAGCCTCTTGAAGTTGGTCAAGACATTGAACTTTTCCCTCTAGTCCTTCCAGTGCATAGTACAATGTCCTTCAGTGTTTACTTTGAAAACACAATGCAACAGGAACAGATACGCCACGTAAGCTGAGTTTTCAGTATAACCTAAGTTACAAGGGGAACTCACCTTCATGAATCGATGAGGCGGGCTTCTGAGATCAAACATTGAACGACTTACATCAAATGATCCAGGCAAAGTTCTAGGTCTTAAATCACTAACTAAAAAGACAAAGAGAATAATACAAATCACGTAAGCATCATTGCTAGGAAAAAAAAGCCCAAACAATTAAGAAGCTTTTTTTAAATTTAAGTAGACCTATGGTAGAATTGAAACCTAGCTAAATAACATCTAAAGAAGGACGTCAGCACCTTTCCCCACCTCACTTTCCCAAAATACTCTCCTGAAAAGACAAAATGGAGAGAACAAGCCACTAAAATACCTTAATCAATTCCACCTTTGAAATAGTTCAAACCTACTTGGTCACATTGGTAGCAGCGGTAGAACGGGGAGCCTGCCTCAAAGTTATTTCCTCTAAAGAAATGGGTTTTTTAGTAGATGCTTTACCAAAACACAAAAGCCTTGTGTTTAAATCTAGTCAGCCAGAACTGGGGCTTAGCCTGGTCTCCTTTTTTTAAATTTTTCCACAGTAAAGATGCTAGTGGCAAAAACATGCTGCCTGCTAAACTTGGCCTCATCTCCCTGGCTTTACTGATCACAGTGTCAAAGCACCACACTCTGCACCCTTACTAGATCTCAGACAAAGCATGTCTTAACTCTAAGATGACACGTACTTGTTATAGCACAAAAGCAAGATCTTTATTTTATAGAAGGGTAGTTTCATCAGCAGTTGGAGGTGGTCAAGTAGATCTTATCAGTTTTCTTTTGACCTCGAAGCAATACAGAACTAAAGCACATTGTCTATGCATATTATGCAGCAACAGTAGAAAATGAGAGCTGAACTAATGCCACTGTTTCAGGAATCTTTGCTGACTCTAGTAACGTTCAAGAGGTGTTTAAAGCCTCCCAACTTCAGAACTGACCCATGCTGAAATGAATGAGAGCAGTATGGTTTAACTTCTAGGACTATCTGATGCAATGAATTGCTTTTTGTTGCAATGCTGCGTTACTGTATTTCAGAAGACTTCCATTACAATTCACTGATTATAGCTTAATAGAATTACATCACTCGTTACTGAAAATTTATTTCCCTTTTATTGCTATCAAAAGAAATAACCAATTATGTGTATTGTGAGATGTGACAATAAAGAATTATTCTTTCTTTTCCCAAGGAAGAAAAAGAGAACAAAAGATGAAGAAAGTTTTGACAACCCATGGGAGGGAAAGGAAAGCAACAACATCATTTAGATAAATTTAATGAAGATCTGTATGTCTGGCGTGAGTTCCAAATTCTCTCTTGTGCATGACACAAAAGGGCTGAGTTGTTCACAGAGTCTGGTGTAGAAATAGCATTGTCGTATCATATGAGGCCTAGAAACCTTGTTTGATATAATGGGAGCAAATAGGAGAGACCAGCCCGTTACTTGATTTGAAACTGATTATGGTTATGGAAATTAATTCCCTATTCAGTACTCATGACTTTCACAAACTACTGGGAAATACCCACTCGAGCCTACAGGTTACAAATCACCGAAACGCCTTAAAGACAGTATGATCTGCTGTTTCTAGTAAAGCTGGTTAAAGTTTTCAAAGAACATAAAGGTGGTGAGGGGAAGAGATGGTGCCTTTTTCAAAAAACTTAAATTCTTAATGGAAAAAAATGTCAGTTTTTGCACTGAGAAAGCTGTCTGTAAAATACAAAAAAGGAGAAAAATTTTAACCATAAACATATGTTGTTTACCAATAATAACTAGAATTTTTGAAAAATATTAATCAATTTATTTTTCAGTTTGTTTTTTGGTTTTTTTTAAGATCAAGAGGAGGGACTTCACGTGAAAATTCAAGAATTTAATTCACTTCATACCTTCCAAATAAACACATTCTGTAGTTCTAAGCCCACACACATGAAAAGTATCATAGCACTTGCTGCAGCAAAATAGGCTTAGAGTTTTGCTTAAATAGTCTATAGATGCCCATGAAGAGAATCATTTAACTTTTGAAACAGCTGTCAAAAAACTGTGGAGGAAGAAGGCATTTTAGAACTGTACTCTAGACACACTTAAGTGACCTTTCTTGTGTTTAAGCTTACTAAGACAAAACTAGTGAAGTGTTTACTTAGCTTGAAGAAAAATGGAAAAAGAGATGATGAGCTGAAGGGAAGATGTTCAAGACAGTTTTATAAAATCCATTTGGCTCCCACCACAGGTGCTTACAAAGCCTAGCAAAACCATATGTGTTAAAGGCTGCTAAAATTCGTGTGTTTTGTTCCCTCTCAAAAAAAAAAAGAAAATGGAGTAGTCTTTTCATGTAGTCTCTATGGTGATTCAGAATTATTTTTAAAACAGAACACAGACTGAGCCATTTCCCCCAGCTGTAAAGCAAGCATGCTATACCATTCTAAATAAAGCACCTTTAAAAATGCACGCTGTTGCCAGCTTCTGATTTGATAGAGAGGTGTGTACATTTCTTTGAGTATATGAATTTTCTGAATGCGTTTGACTTAGCAATCACTTACAGCAAGCGACACTTGGTCATCTACTTTACTCTAAACAGCATTCATTATAGGATACATATACCAATGAACAGCACAGAGGAAAATTTTTACCGAGGTAGCCAAACCCCTTCTGTCTAAACTTTTACTATCTCACAGCCCTCCCCTGTTCTTAAACACACTTGTGCAATGAGAAGTGGGGACATGTCTGCACCTTCAAAAGCAAACTACGAAAAAGCTGGCATATAGCATCACTTTCCATTTTGCACCTGTTTTTATCATCTGCTCCTGAATGTTTTTTGGTGCTTGTTCCTCTCTCCATATATATACACTCCTCAGGCATTCCTCCACTCAACATACTGCCCGACTTCCCTTTTCCGTCTCCCTCAAACACTCCTATTACTGGTAGCTGGAATCTTCAGTACTGCATCCTGTTTTGGATCAGAGGCAGCTACACTAGCTTGCTTTGCCAATCTGTCTACCTTCGTGTGATGCACGCGAGCCTTGTTAAGCCCCCAAAAGACAGAAAGTAACAGTGCAGCTGGAAATCAAGCAGAGCTGGCTCCACAGAGCGATTCACCAACCAAGAAGTGTCTGTAGCATACAGACCAGTTTGAGAACTGCTATAATCAAACACGTCTTCTGTAGACTAATGGCTTTTTTCTCTTACCTATAAACCTTGGGAAAGGGAGGAAGACAGAGATGTAAGGGTGCGGGTCCTTCTCACCTGATCCATATAATTTCCTATTATCTGATTTTGCTTGGAAGCGCCTAATCAGATCTGGCGAAACCCGATGCTCCAAATAGAATGGGTTGTACACGTCATAGCAGGGCCACTGGTACCCGCCGTGCAGTTCTGCTTTCCGGTCACCAAATGAGGCTCTGGCAGATTCTGTGGAGCACAAGTAAACATCAAATGCAAGAGTTCCAGACATAACACATGCTGCCTGGCTTCATAAGGCAGGCAGAGTGCCTTCAGGGCAAAGGACAAAATATTTCAATATTATCTACTTCAGGAAAAGGAAGAAAACAAAAGAAAAAGTAAAGAAAGCACATATACATATCATGTCAGATTTCCACAGTGTGCTAGCAAACACTGGAATTAAATTGGCCATAAAAAGCTATGCATACCCTGTCTTGGAGTTCCATAAATGCCTAACTAGTTAAAATACAGAAGGCTCCAAAGACAGACAGCAAGACAGAAATTAACAGGAAAAGTAGGGCCATGTCTACAGAAAACCTCTGACTTATTTGCTACCTATCCCCAGGACATTGCCACTCAGCTAATGGACCCCCAGACCTTCAGGAGGGTATGTCTGGAAAGATAATGCAACTTGTGACTGCAGTCTCCTTGTCATCCAATTTCCATAGGAAGTCTGTCAGTGGTAAAATCACTGGCCCAAAATGACTTGAATTGTTGGCTGAGGCACAAGTAGACAGATCTGAGAACGCTTGAATCCCAGCCCTCTACTCAGCCCATTACAGCACAGCTGCCCTATTTTTCTTTCCTTTATTTATAATCATTTCAGAAAAAACATGCATGTCTTGGCCAGCAGAACAGTAAAGAACATTGCTGTAGTGCTTCATTTTGTCTGTCTGGAGCAAAAATAAGCCATATATAACAGTACAGTAGGGAATGGGGATGGCAGTGACTTGGACTCAGCCAAGCTCTGACATTGGCTTCCTTCACTTCACCTCCCTAGACTTCAACCTCTCTGTTAAAAAGTTCTTTACCCCATTATAAAGTGCCTTCAATTCTGCAAGTGTCTTGCACCGTGAAAGACAAACAATTATTGCTGTGAAATCCCTTCCTCCAGGTGTTAGTAGAGTAAGTAAAAAAGAATAACTAAAACAGTGAGATGGAACATGAGAGATTATAAAGCAAGAATTCAAGTATAATGGGCTTGAGCATGACGTAAATTAGGATAAACGCTAGAAATGAGGCCATAAAGAATTGATACACAGCAGATGATGGAAAAGCCAGCGTTCCAGACCAGGAGCACACTCCGTCCTGCTAGCTTACTTCTGTGAGAGCATGAGACACGCTGCAGTGAGTATTGAAGAGAAAGGCTGCCAGAACTTAATTGCTTTCAGAAGGAATGCCAAGAGCTAACACTGAGCATGTCCTGTTTCACTAAAGGAAAATGGTCAGATACACACAGAAAATGGAGTGGAACCGAGAGCTGAACTTGGAAGTCTACAGATATTTAACAATGGTCTAAGAAGGAAATACTCTAAATACATTTTTTGAATATGCTGGTGCTTTGGTTAATGTGAAGAAGGAATGACAGCACACTTCACTGTAGTTAGTAAAGGTCCCTAAAAAGTAAACTTTGCATTTTTAAACACAACTTTAGTGAGGCTTAAAAAGCTGTACTTTAAAAAATAAGTATTTATATTTGGAAAGAGAAATGGAAGTCGCCTACTTGACATAAGAGCCACTTTTAACATATTTGTTCAAGAATTTAAAGTATTTGCTCAAGAGACAATTATGAAGAGTCAGGACATCCTGCCAGAAGACCTACTGGCTTTATAGCCTAAGGGCCACTCTGTTCACCAGGTCCTTCAGAAATGATGATGAAAGGATTATCAGGAGCATGTCCTGCATTTCCGTACCTTGTGCAAGTATGGACTTACAAGAACTAGCTGCTGAAGCAGTAGGGAAGCAGGGAGGCTGAAGGAGATCAGGCTCAGAGATGAGAAGGGCCTCACACGTTCTACCTTCAACTATTAGGTTGCCTGTCTATGTCTGGTGAGGCAGACATCACAAGTAAAGCCCACTAAAGAGATCGGGCACAGAATGGCCAGTCTATACTGAAAAGCTCTGCTAGGCTGATTAGCTTGGCTCTGGTGCCAGCGTTACCAGCAGGGGTGGGTGAGGGTGAGGAGGAAGTTTGGCAACAGGCATGCAGGAGGAGAAAAGAAGCAACAGCAAGGACCGGGGGAGAAGAGAGAAGAGTAGGAGTAAAACCACACAAGCACACAAAAAGGTTAGGTAGTACTGCATTAGTTATTATGCAACATGTGGTTGACTTTTTTTGGTTATTAAGGTTTCCACCTGCAGAAAAGAAATACAGTCACATGGGACTAAAAGCATATTATCCACTTATCACTGCCTCAAGGCAAAGCAACTCTAGAGAAAACAACCGTTCAGGTATGACCCAGGCCAAAATCTTCCCTTACCTAATTCTAAGTATCTCGTGGCAGGACCAAGAGCCTAGGAATAGCATATGCCCTGTAACTCATGTTACTGGGCCAGGCTCCTATTCTTTTTAAATGCCACTGTGCCTAAATTGCATGTACATCATTTTGGCAGTCTGAGCATGGAACTAACTGGCAGAGGTTGAAGCGCAAGATTACTGTGAAGCAAAGAGTCATAGTATCATGTGCAACCTTATACCACTGAGATCTGTGACCCCTGGCCTCCCAAAGAGCAGCAATAAGAGCAAGAAGTAGCAGGGGAAAGAAATTCCGCTGTGTAGTAGCACATGCTATTTATCGGCAAAATTTGAAAAGGAAGATGTGTTAGTACGTTAAAACGTATCAGTACATTAAACATGAAAGCCAGACCACCCTCCTTCTTTACTTGAGTGATATGGACGCTGGGGATGTATTAGGTCTTTCCTTGCCTCCAATAAATTCTTTACTAAAGCTTCTGTTTCCTTTAAGTGTCTTCCATTACTTTGAGTATAAGCACTAGTGTGCAATCCTCCCTTTCACTTTTATTCATGCACCACCACAGAGATTCATAGTGGGATGACATCCTTCACAAAACCTCTCTGGACATCCAGAGAGAAAAGAAACAAGACCAGGCTTCTAGAAAAGTTCTGCAAACATATATTTTCAGTAGGAATACTTGACAACTTTCAAGGAGTAGCAGAAGCCAAACAACTATTTCAGCAATGCTGTTTATGTTTTACCTTGAATCCCTCCAGCATGAGAGATACTAGGAAGGTTCTTCGGCTGTACATAAGCCAATCTGAATGGAGGGACCACAAACGGTACCTCCTGACCATCCAGGGGCAGTTTAGAAAGCAGATAATCCTCTGAACAGCCAACTTGACGCTTCACTGACACAGAAGACAATGGAGGCTTCTCTACAATAGTTGGCTTGCTTGCAGCTACTGCTTCAGATTCCTGCACCATGGAAACTGCTAAAAATAAAGAGCAAGAAAAACAGACAGTCCACATGTACATTAAGTTTTGAATAATACTATGAACAGATCTCTTTTATTTAATAGGATCTGTGCTTGATAGATTACTTAACGGCTGCTAGTATTCACTAGTACTAGCAGTACTACAAAACTAGTACACTAGTTTTACCAGTGTTCAGGACTAGCACCTGGAAAAGATATTCATCCTCATGACACCTGTACTGATCCAAACTCTGTTGCCCAAGCTTCTATATTTACAGCTACCTTGCTCTTAAGTGAATTTTTACAAGAGGTACACTTGTATCATAGAAGAGTTCTTCAAACAACTAAGACACCAAAGAAAATCCTAACAGCAAATCCACAGGGACTTAAAAAGAAAAAGTGTTCGCTCTTAGAGTTTGAAAGATGCAAGTCCTTTACACAACCTTGGGTAAAAAAGTTGGCTTTTTGGGACAGCATTCCAGGCTGCAAGGAGCAGACTTCAGACAAGTGTTATTTTTCAGTTCCAATTCCAATTCCTAACACTAACAAGCATGTGTTCAATCTCCAAGTGGAGGTACGGAAAGAATTTTGGATGTTGTAAAAGAATTCATGTTTCTCAGGAGTGATACAGTCATTTTATTAATGGGAAACCCCATCATTAATGAAGCCAGAACAGCAAAACCCTCAGTTGATGTCATTATGTCAGAACTCACGATCTTTTTTTTCTTTTTCTATGCAGAAACACCATTTACAGCAGTTTTTTATACATTCTGTTGCCATTGTTTTCAGTGTTGCAATTTAGAGGAGACCGCAATCAAAGATCCAGTGTAGCTATCGAACCTGAAAAACACAATAAAACAAACCATAGAAGATGTGAATAACTGAAATCAAAATGCAATATTATCAGTTATTTAATATGTGATTGCTTATTGGACACAGTCCCAGAGTCAATGAGAAAGTTACTTCAGTCATAAAAGGATCAGAGCCATCAGATTTCTCTCACTGAGACAAATTATTTGTTATATATAAGCACATGGAAAGAGATAATCATTTTAACGTACGGCATCCAAGTACTTTCAGTGACTCACTCAGACAGGTCCCTGTCTTTCAGGAACACTGAAATTCCCTTCATATTTGTGTGTGCCACTGGGCTTTGGATTTTACTCAGCTTTACAGCTGTTTTGATGTGGTCTTGTCAAGCCATTTGCAAGATGTGTTTTTTATTCTGTTTCCCTTGTTCATGTTTCTCCTATCCTCTTTCACTATGTACTATTTTCACATACATCCATACGCGTTTACATTTTTCACTCAACATACTCCATACTTTACATTTGAAAACACTTTATGAATGATGCCAAAATTGCCTTCTTTGAGGAACTACTGCTTTCTCATAATTGTATACACATGAAACTGAAGACCTGTTTTATTATATAATTGTCTGCTATGCACACAGAAATAGAGAGCGCTGACTTCCAGCAAAATAAGAGGCATGTAATCTACTAAAAATGAGAACAAGTCTATAACAGCTGGTTAACATTAAAAGAACTTTATGACAATACTAACTGGCCTCATTTAAATGTCTTTATTCATATCCTTATGTTCTCTTTTCAGAGGGACACAGACAGCTGTGTTGCCTCCTGTCCAAAACTTTAGCTCTCTAAGTCTAGTCCTTTTACATGTACCTAAACTACACATGGTTCTTTGTAGAACATACCCAAGACATGGTTCCAACTCCATGGAGGTTAGAAGACACCAAACGGAACATGAACGTAAGCTGAAGGGATGGGGAAGACAACAAGTAAGAGAAAGGGGGAAAACACAGAGAGAAGACAACAATTACACAAAAATGGACACGTTTGCTCAGTTATCTCAATCGCAAGAAATTGCTGAAAGCTTCCGTGCTCCAGCACAGAAGCCATTCCTACCTGCAGCTTGAACAGTGCCATCATTTTCTTTGTATGTGTATTCAAAGACAGCTAGGGAATGACACAAATACTGTGGAAATAACACTAATGTCCCCAAAACTTTTCTCTCATTAAAAGCCCCTCAAAATTCTGATGGATACCAAGTGGAGATATTAAGCTATGGACACGTCATCTAACTTACTTAGAAAACATGTGCTTTCTTGTCTTAACATTATTTATTTCCATGGGTAGGGTGCAACTGGAAGTTATCAATAGATGTATCAATTTGCAAATACTGACCAAACTCAGCATATACTTACTGACCTGCTCTTTTGCACTCTACAGTACCTCAGCACTGCTATTTATGTTTTAACGTATGGGTTTTGCAGAGTCACTGAGAGCACGTGACTTCCTCATAATGAGGAAGCCTTGAATTAACTTGTTATCTTTAAAACACTAGCGTGAAATATAATGAAAGTTTATTATTACAACTACGTAACTGTTCCAGAATTATTCTTAATCGTGAGCTATCACGAAGTACCGATTAGAAGGAAATTCTTAAAATATATCCCCATTAGACCTAAACCTAAGTAAACCATTATTCTACTGCAACAAGGACCTAAGGGAATATTTGGTTTAATACAATTCCTTTGAATAATTTTTGCTGGGTTTACCACTAAGTGACATTAATTATTTCCTCTAGTTTTGTACTGCTCTTTGTGCTCAATAGACCAAAATGAACAAAATGTAAGTGACCCAAGTATAAAAACCTCAGAAGTAGCCTGAATACTGGTACACATTATTCTGGAAAACAGAACACTACTGAAGAGATTACAGTGTAGTCTCTAACCAGACAGGGCAAGGGTGCAACATCCTGCTTCAAAAGGGTCACCATTACTCTGCACAGAATCCATCACTCAGTACGTGCCCTGATCTCAAAACTGCCCATGAGTGTAAGTACAGTATGAGATCTGCATCAAAAATCTTCAGAGGCAACACCACTGACTCCAGAACCTGCTCTGCATCTCTACAGAAGCACAAAACAGACACGGGAACTTCTCATTAAATTCCCCACGTTTCTAAGGAACAAATTTTCTCCGCTGCTCCTCCCTTGGAGGCGCACTCACAATAGCTAAGCCTGCTAGCATTCAAAGTTTACTTTAAGGTTCCCTTGCAGTGATTTTCCTTCCCAGCTGTTATCGATACACAGCTGGAGTTAATATGCTTTACTCTTGTTCACCATGTTTAAACTGGGCTGAAACAGCTGCTTCGTTTGCTCTAAGCTTTGCAACAATGGATTCTAAGCCTCAGTGGCAGTTTGCGCAGGCAAAACAGTCTTTTATCTCAAAATGTCCAGATTGAATTTACTCGCTACTGCTGGTGGAGAAACCAAAATGTTAGTAACCGCCCTGCTTTCCAGCTACATAAAGTGGAAAAACTAGGTTTTCTGCATCAGAGAAAATTCAGTTCATGGTGGTAATTTCTTTCCCCAGAATTGTTTAGCTGGAACCATTAATGTGAGCAAATAAACAAATGTAAATCGTCTGTCACAAGCAGTTGCCTTTCCATCACGGGGTTGAATGCCTTACCTAGAAAGAAAGGGCTACATACAGGTATTGAGGATATAACAGTAATAAGGCAATTCTACATCTTTTGTACTTCTATCATTAAAAAAGACGATGTTTTTCACAGTAAGACCAAGTAACCTGTGATAGTCTTTGACCATTATCTTTTTTTCCTCATTTATCAATATGCAAACATTCATACATTTTTTCTATCTGAAGACAAATATAAAGCAGTTCATCACTGCCTATCGTACAGAAGAGAGTACACTATTTACAGATTACTGTTTTGTAGGCAAGGTAATATCAGTAGCCAATGCCAAAGTATACAGACACATAGCTTAGAGCTTCCAATTCAGTTTCAGCTTAAATACAGTATTTTGAAAAGAAAATTCCAAGAGTAAGAGACTAGAACACTGTTTACACTTTTTCTTAAGCTTCAAAATGTAATGGTTTCCGTGACAAAATTTGTGCTTGTGTTCCTAGACTTATACCACAGCCACACTACAAAAAAATGCCAGTATTTGCTGAGGGACAGATCATCTCGATACAGTGCTCCCTCATTCTGCTTAGAGCACTTTGCTTTGTTCGTGAAATCACAACATGGATAGTCTCAATTACTTTTTAAAGTTTTAATTAACTTAAGCTACAGAGATAAATATATTTGGGTTTTTGTTTTAGTTCAGAAGAGCAATCCTAGCAGTAAATTAGATGGCCTGGCTCCCAGTCAATTTATTTTCTCGTATCTGTTTTTCCCAAGTTGCCTACGGTTAGTTATACAACTTTCACTGCATGCAAAAGTTTTGTCTTAACCATGTGGGCCAGAGAGAAATTTAGCAGCTTCTGTTGTATATTTTCTTAACTGAAAATGAACAAAAATCTTGTAGAAGATTAAACAAGTATTTCATGATCTTCACAGAAGTTGACATTTCTATCAAAGGTTAAATTTCTCCCACATGCCAGAACCTTTTGCTGGTGTCAGTTACCCAAAAATCCTCAGTATATCATTAAACAGTTGTTAAAAGGTTGTACTAACATGCATTTGTCTGGGAATAAATTTACCAAATAAACCTGAACTGTAGAGACATTTGTTAGGTGCACCACCAAATTCCAAAGAAGTATTGACTTCCCAGCAATTCCATCCATCTTCACAAGTAGTTAGGACTCCTTGACCCTATCTCTAAGTTTTGGGGTCAGTTTTTGTTAGGCAATATGCATACGTCAAAGACATCCTCCATTTTGGAGATATTAGACTGAGAAAATTACAGGAGGAAAAGATGAATTATCCCCAATTTTCAGACAAAAAACAGAGAGAAATCAAATCACTTGCAGCAGAAGAGGGAACTGAACCCAGATCTTGTCACTCTGTCTCAAATTCTCTCTCTTTCTTGGGGTTCTCCATCTATTTCAGTAAGCTTTTTCATTTCTCTCTTCCCAGTATCAAGCCAAAATAAGATAATCCAATGTAACTCAGCACTAGTCCTTCCACACTAAGGCAGAAGGAGAGCCAAAGTTATTAGAACATCCTGGAAACAACAAAGTCTAAGAACCAACCACACATATACACAGAGCCTAGAGAATTACAATTACTACTATTTTAATGGGTTTAGATGGAGAACATAAATTATCTTAATGATTTCCAGATTTCTCTGATAGAAATTTTGAATGAGCTAAAATCAGATAAACACAGTATCGAAGACTTCGGTTCCAGATGCCTCCAGAATGATTACAAGACAGAGATGTTTGGAGAAGAAAGCAAATATTTTCACAACTCGTTAAATGAAAAGAACATGACAGAAAACGGATGATCGCAATATTAAATATTAAAAGCTGAAAGCAGTCTGAAAATAAATATCAGGTCTTTGCTGTCTTATGATGAAAGGGTGTGTTTTGCAACAAGTTTGTAGGCTGCTGATGTATTTTTACTGCATTTAGTCACAGCACTGCTCCATAGGAGTTGATCAGGTAACACATTTAAAACTATGCAATAGACACAAGGGTGAAACAGCTGATCTCAAACTGGGAAAGCTGGCTAAACCAGAGGTTTCAAACGTTATGAGATTTATTGCCAGCCATAAATGTATAAACCGCATTCTCAGATCTGCGTCCCAGAAATGCATCACGGCAAAATCTCTAGTAGCAGTAAGTCCTCACAAAGCAGGAGGTGTAAAAGAAAATGTCCAGAAACAGGGATGATCAGTTGTTATTAAGCATTTGGGAGAGATCATAGAATCATAGACTCATTTAGGTTGGAAAAGACCCTTAAGATCATTGAGTCCAACCGTTAACCTAGCACTGCCAAGTCCACCACTAAACTATGTCCCTAAGCACCACGTCTATACATCTTCTAAATACCTCC